AAGATTGTGCGAGATATGGAAGACGTGCAAGATTGTGCGAGATATGGAAGACGTGCAAGATTGTGCGAGATATGGAAGACGTGGAAGATTGTGCGAGATATGGAAGACGTGGGAAGATTGTAGTTCCCGTGATCCCGCTTGACTAGCCTCCCATGTCACTTATCGAAGCTTGCGTCTGAAGTAGAATGCCGCATTTGGATAGGCGGATTGTTGTGCAGCTACCAATGCATGATTACGGCAACGCGTTGAGCAAATTTGAAGAACGGGCGATTGATCGCGACGAACTATACTATAAGAAAAACTATAAATACGAATCAAGCTTCTGGTGAATCTGTCGCGGGAAAACCTACAAACATATCCCACAGATACAGTACTTCAAGTGAAGCGTCAAACCAAGTTAGAATTCCTCCTGTCTGTCCGACATGTGCACCAAAAGCGTAGCCACCAAGATCTACGAATGTGGCGATCGGGTTGACCAAGACGTGAAGTTTACTCCTTGCAAAGAAATGGAGCATGCGAACCACAAGGTCAAGGTGGACCAGTTGGGCTCGAGCAGAGTCAAGGGAAAGTGCGGCAGAGCTAACTGTAGAAATCCTTGAATTTCGGTAAGAAAACTCCGTATATTGTAATCAAATGGAGAGCATGCTAATTCTCAGGAAAAGGAGACCAGAAAAACCAGAGAAACGAGCAGGACATTGGAAGGGCGAAGGCTGCTTAGTGCTATGCCACATCTAGACAATCCTTTACAAATGTAGCTAGTCAATCTTTACGGTACGCTCAGCCGCACTTGAGCACCTCCAAATCTCGCTCTTAAAATATATGTGGTCACTATTGTACACGATGAGCGTGATCGCGGTAAGGGACTATATTGGCTCAACCGCAACCTTCTATGCAGTCGAGAAAGGAATGATCATCAAGTCAATACATCCAGCCTTAGCCGAAACAGACGGATATAAGCTGCTCGTTGAGAGTAAGATTCTCAAGAGATTAGGAGAGCATCCGAGGGTTGTCAAGTATGTAACCACAATACTACAGAAGATGTCTTTTTAATAATTCCTAGGTACAGAGGCTATGAAGATAATTCGGACCTCAAAGGATTACTGCTTCTCGAAGCAAGCCACGGTGATTTACAACACTACATCGACCAAAACAACGCCAAGATAGATGTTCCAACGCGCAGAAAGTGGTGTCAGCAAGCGACAGAGGCCGTTCAGTATATTCATAGCAAAGGTATCATACATTCAGACCTCCGACCACAGAACTATCTTGTTCACGAAACGTCAAATGTTCTCGATCTCCAACTGTGCGATTTTGGCGGTTCAATGTGTCGAGACTTGGATGTAGATGGGAGAGGTCTACCAGATCCTCCCTTTTGGGATCTATGTTGGGAGTCAACCATTGGCACAGATATCTTCAGTTTAGGATCTATCTTTTACACCATCACGACTGGTCTGTGGCCTTACAAAACGAGTCAAGAACACGAAGAAGACAAGTGGCAATTTGAAGACCGAGTTATTGCGCTGCAAGAAAAGGGTATATATCCTGATGTGGAAGGGATAGTGGGCGGTACAATCATGATGCAATGCTGGAAGAAACAGTATCAGAAGGCAGAGGATGTTCTAGAGGCACAAGTGATGCTTTCTCAAGGGCTCACAGAATGAATTAAGAAGTCGAGGCTTCTCTTGATCAGATATCTGTGAAGCAACCCACCATCGCTCTCCTGAGGATTGAAGGAAGACGTATCCAGGGGGATTTTGTGGTTCATCAGCAGCTGTCTCCATCATCAAAACATAATCTAGCTTTGTCAAGTGTAGAAGACTGAGGGAAGTCAGACCAGCTGGTTGGTATATGGATGGCTCGATGTAGAATATTGGTGCGCTTTAAGGTTTCCGCAAGTGTCTCCCAAAGACCTGCTATTTTTCTTCTTGACAGCCTCTGAGATCACTGTCGGGAATGTGCGTGAAAGGTGCAGTCGATCCTTTAGGCCTGCCAAGATCGCCTCTTTTTGAGCCGGCCTAAATATCTGCTCGTACGAGGCTGCCAGCCTTGTTAATCTGTCGGCAGACCTTCCTAAATATGTCGCGATACGCGAGACATCTCTGGCCGCATAGTGACACAGCTTTCACTGTCGCATCGTCTGAGCACCAAGGTACGAGGTTCCAAAAATTCGAGAGCTTTTACCAAATTCCTCACTGACCCAGAAATCCCTCAGGCACGCTATCTTCTCATCTCCTGACCCATCTTCTGATTCAGCCCCGCGACCCTCGGTTGCTCTACCATCGCCGTCACCCGAATGACTCCTAAATCGCTCTCTCTGAGGATGCGATGGCTTCACAATCCGAAATACTGCTTCCTCGAGACCTCTCCAGTCTTCCTTTCATTAACGCAGGCGTAACGAGTGTGGTCCGCGCCCTTGACGAGCATTCTGTCATAAAATTAACTGGTGACGAAGATAGTCTTCGCGCACTTGAAGTTGAACGCAGAATTCTTGAACGACTAGGTGAACATCCTCGCATCGTCAGACTATTATATGTTCACGAGAAAAAGCTTGTCCTCGAGCGTCTTCTATATCCTCTTCTTGTGCGACTTTTAGAGCTTCGAGATGAAGAAGCCGCCCCGTCCACGGAGGAGATTTTGAAATGGTCCGCCCAAGCCGCCGAGGGTATGGAATACTTCCACGGAAAGAATGTACTTCAAATTGATATTGGTTCCCACAATTTACTTCTTGACTGGGATGAGAACATCAAGTATTGTGATTTCTCGGGGAGCTGCATCGACGGTGGCTGGACCTATGCTGCTCCTAGTACACGAGCACAGCATCCTTCTATCTCGCCCAAGTCACCTTCAGTACAGTCGGAAATCTTTGCACTCGGCTCTGTTTTGTACGAAATCTCAACAGCTCGAAAGGTATACGAGGACTTGGAGGAATGGGAAATCGAACGCCATTTTACTCAAGGCGAGTATCCCGAGACGCAACACCTGTTACTCGGTCATGTCATTACTAAGTGTTGGTCTGGAGGATATAATAATGCTGGTCAGGTCGCTGCGGAGATTCGGGCAATTCAACGACGATTCAAGTATGGTGATCTCAATCTACCACTTGGGCACTATATGCGGAAACAGAAGGAGAGCCGCCGGCTTCGTCGAGGTAAGTCGAAATTTCCGATGGGCCAAAGTCCACTCATTCTCGCGTCAGTCCACTAATTGTCACCGTGTACTCGATTCAGAACATCTCGACCTTTACTTCACTCGCATCCCTCATTATCTGCTCAGCGTGTGGACAACAACTATCGCTAGAATACAATGGATTTGGCAGAGCGTAATGGATATCTTCCCCTGGAAGCTAGGAAAACCTCAATAAAGTTGATCCGAGAAAAGACACTCTCCCAACGTCGCTGATAGGTCTCGTTCCGAAGTTGGCGACAGGTCTTGTTCAGCCCGAGTCTTGGTCAATTTTCATAGCGCTATCCCTCACAATTGTCAGCATAACGAGGCGACTAGTCATGAGGAGGCATCGCGATGGGAAGCTAACTATAATCATGGATTTGTCTGGATTCTGGCACGAAGGACAATCACCCGCGTGTTTTGAGGTGCCAAACGTGCCTAGGTCCGTCCTGCTCGCGTGCTCATCATCGCAATGACGTAGTGTGGCTCGATTCTGGGGTCGAGTGCAGCGGGCGTAGTGTCTCAGAGTCAACTGGTGTTTCGGAATAGCTGTGCAGCGAGTAGAAGTCACTGGGAACTCGGTGTACGTACACATCGTCGATGATATTGCTACTTCTGTTGCTAATCAAGGAATAGGTTTCAGGAGGAGTAGAAGGCTTCGGTAGGCTATCTCTAATTCATGCGGAGGGCAGGATTATGTGGCTCTCAACCCTCTAATAGTGTCTGGAAGCACATGCCAGAGTCCGCCCACACTGACTAGTGCAGAGCCAACGCATTTGCTTTGCTGTCGACTCAACCCTGGGAATCGGCAACATGAATGTAGGCGGGCTGACTGGTACCAGAGCTATCTGGCTGCCAGACGTGTAATCATGCATCATTTCGCGCCCTGTTTCTATGATTCCCTAAAAACTGCGGTAGAAGCCAATGTAGAAACCGGAAATAAGTAGTACCGGACCCGGCCCTAAAATCACAAATTGGCGCAAATGGTTGGACAGCTTGTCTCCGAATGTTGAACGTTCCATCACCTTTGTGCCTTCGAACCAAAAGAGCAGTCTGATATCCTACGTCAGATTGAGGCGGATGATGATGCACATGCCTGGAAACAAGCCTGGATGCATGACCACGGCCAAAAGATGAGCGTGGATCTCACCATCATTGAGGGAAGTGACAACAAGCAAGTACCCAAGCAGGAGATATTATTGTATAGACTGCAAACTGTAGCGTAAATTCCCCCATTCTCCGAAATGTTGCTAGAAATCTGACACGTTCCTCACAGTCTCTACCTGCCAAGGTAAGTACTGTAGAGCGAACCCCCTAAGCGCAAACAAGGACAGAGTACTCCGGACATAGTACGAAGGACGGAGTTGGAGCGAGTGCTCAGTACGAACGTACGAGTACTTGTAGCGAGCGGTGCACAGAGTAGAGATCATCACGCTTACGGTCCACATCTAAGTCACGGGCCTGGTTCGTAATCTTTACAATACAAGTCATTACGAATCCATTTTGTTGTCACAGTCTCTTCAGCGGTGGGAAAAGAAGGGAAGAGAGAGAAGAGGGGGGGGGGGGGTTGTGGGCGCGCCAGGTTGAAGGGTTTCGAACTCGAGTAGAGGGGAGGGGGGGGGCTCGAAATGCCGGCAGAAAGGGAGCACACCGCCCCGGATGGACGAAGTGGAAGCCCTGTAGCATCCCGTTCGACAATTCTGGGCGGTGTGTTTGGTAATCCATCTCCACTCCTGACGAGATTGGTGTCGAAAATGAGTTCGTGATAGCTTGTATTGTACAGATTACTACCAGGTTCGTGACTTTGTAAGCCCAATGAGCTGTTCTCTGTGCTGCCATTACTCGTACCGTCGTACGGAGAACTCGTCCCAACTCCGCCCTTCGTACTCCGTCCATCGTTATCGTTTGGGTTCGCGCTACTTACCTTTAGGGGAAGAGCTGTACAGTAGGTAACCGCGTCAGAACTTGGCCAGTCGACCGAAGGACTAATATTTCTGTGAAGTAATATTTCTTTTAGCTCACAACCTAGAACGTTGACATATCCGACTCTTTTTCTCCATCATTAGCATTGTCTCTTCGCCACTATTCTAGGCTGGACCAACGAGTGAGTGTTCTACTCATCATATCACAACACCGCCATGGCACCGTCAAACTCGATCGGACTCCGCCAGCAGAGGTCGTCGACGGGCCTTGAAACAGCTGCGAGGAGAGACGGCGATGACGAGGTTGTTGCCATCGAGGGTCTGGACATTAGTACACTTCCGCCGTCTAGGAGACTGTCGAACAGAGGTAAAGCTAGAGTCATTGCGGGAAATGCTCTTCTTCAACTTCCTATATGGGGTGAGTTCATTGGCCAGCACGACGACGACGACGATAATCTCCTCCTCCTTTTTATCCCAGGACGCTTCTAACCATCTCAAACGGCATCAATCCTAGCCATATTCATCCACGTGGTGTATTATGTGACTGACTCTCTTTCCGCCTGAAATTAGGCTTTCCCATGACCTACGGTCTCTTCCAGGACTTCTACACCTCCAGCTGGCCACTTTCCGGCTCACCCTCTGGCACAGGTGTCATCGGCACGACATCCAACGGCATCATATATCTCTCCATGCCGTTCCTCTTCGCAGCACTCAGCCAACGCTGGGCGCACTTGCGGCGCAGGGTATCCTACCTCGGCATTGCGCTCGCAGCACTCAGCTTCGTGCTGTCCTCGCTCAGCACGCGGTCATGGCACCTGGTAGCCACGCAGGGGGTGCTCGCGGCGCTCGGATCCGCGCTGCTCTACAGCCCCACGACACTCTCGCTGGGCGAGAGTTTCACCATCGACAGCCGCGCGCTCGCGTACGGGGTGATATACTCGTCCAAGAGCATTGTGGGGTCGACGTGCCCGTTCCTCCTACGCGGTCTTCTCGACGCCTACGGCTTCCGCAACACGATGCGCATCTGGATGGCCATCATTACTTGCACGAGCATGGTTGCAATGTTTCTACTGCCCCGAGACCCGCTGATCCAGCAAAGTCATCATTGTCACCGTCATACTCGTACTCGTACTTTTTCCCGACACCGCGCAGAACAACAAGGACAACAACAAGAAGAAGCGGAAGAAGAAGAAGAAGACAGGTCTCGCGCATCGCCCGCGCATCACCAGCCCCGTCGCACGGCATGGCACTTTCTCTCGTATCGCACATTCTACATCTATATTGTCGCCACCATGCTACAGTCATCGGGCTACGGCATCCCGCAGACCTACGTCAACAGCTACGCGCACTCACAGGCTCGGCTCTCGGCGACGTCGTCCACGCTCCTGCTCACCCTGTTCAACGTGCCAGGGATCCTATCGAGTTCGTTCTTCGGCTACCTGAGCGACAACCGCTTCTACCCGCTCTCCGCGACCACCACCACCGCCCTCTCGAGCGTCACCTCGGCCCTGTCCGTCTGGCTGCTCTGGGGCCTCGCACCCGCCCGCGGCGGCTCCATGACGATTCTGTCCCTGTTCAGCGTCATGTTCGGCTTCTTCGCCAACGGCTACAGTGCGACCTTTGGTGGCGTGTGCAAGCAACTCGAGTGCGAGGCCATCGAGCGCAACCAGGCCCTCGACGCTGGCGTTGTTTTTGGCATGCTTAACGGGGCGCGCGGGCTGGGCTACGTCATCGGCGGTGTTGCTGGCGTGAGCCTGTTAAAGGTCGGCGGGAAGAAGCTGGGTGGTGATGATGGGCACGGACACGGTAGCGGGCTGGGTCGTGCAGCCTACGGGACAGAGTACGGTCCTCTCATCATCTTTACGGGCCTCACCATCATCTTTGGAGGGTGGAGTGTTGCCTGGAAACTTTTCAACAAGAGGGTGTTCAAGTTGTTGTTTCGATGTTTCAAGAGCTAGACATTATGAATTACGCACCCCACACACCCACACACCCACACATTTACACACATTCACACATATATACACATATACATAAAACCCCATCCAAACGCTACCTTGGTCGATTTCGTCTGATCATATGTACTCCATCATACTCAGTTCAGTCCATCAGTCAACCTCGATGCGCTGGGAAGTAAACTCGAGACACAGAGGCGTAAACGTCAGTCAGTACAATATTCTACAGCGGGCAGAAATGATACAACGACTCGTCCGCCAATTGACAGTGTTCGGAAATGGGCATAGTACACATAGGGCTTCCGGGGCCGGACATGGAGCTGGTCCGATAAAGGCCCGACAACTATGATCAACTTCGCCACCTACCACATCAGGCACCGGTACCGGCCCATGTTGTCATCTTCCGAACTTGAGGAAGTAGCTGCTTGATCAGCAACGAAACAAGTTCTTTCTCTTCCTCCCTCAACCCTTTCAAACATTGCAAACAATTTCGATTAGGTCGTGACCTCTCCAGATAATCATGACACGCAACGGGCCAACCCACAACTACAAACAAGGCTATTCAAACCAGACGGTCGCGACCCAACAAACTCGCACAGCCGAGACCGAGGCATCTTTTCTTCTACCACATATCAAAAAGACAGACTACATTCTCGACGTTGGTTGCGGCCCGGGAACCATCACTACGGGCTTTGTCAAATACGCCAGTGAGGGAAGGACGATCGGCGTCGACATCTCACCAAGTGTTCTAGGCAGAGCCAAGGCTGTCGCCGAGGAGGCCCGCATCCCCGACGACGGTCCTGGTTCCATAGCCTTTGAAGAAGGGAATATCTTAGAAGGAATTCCCTACCCAGACAACACCTTCGACGTCGTCTTCTGCGCTCATACTATGGGTTATATGCCACCGCCAGACATGCCAGTCAAAGCACTCACGGAGATGCGACGAGTGCTGAAGCCTGGAGGCATCCTGGCCACACGTGATGCCGTCGAACAGCACTTTTATCCACGAAGCACAGACCTTGACCGCCTCTGGGTCGGGAACTTCCGTCGTGCAGTGCTCAACGGGAGGTCTACAGAAGATTTAGCACCTCCTGCTATGCCGGCTCTATTTCGGCGGGCGGGATTTGATGCTGACGGCGGCAAGGTTCTTGTCGGTTGTGGGAGTTCCGCTGTATCGGGAGCACCAGCTCGACAATTTTTAGCAAAGCGTGCCCAGAGCCAACTCCAGGTTGGTGACCCCTTGTACAAAAGTTGGCGAGAGGCGGGCATCACAGAGGATGAGATACAGGAGACTCTGGCCGCCTCGAAGAGATGGGCCGACACTGAAGATGCGTGGTATGCGGCTATGAGTTGCGAAATGCTTGCGTGGAAGTAACCTTTGGAGACTTTTTGGACGCCATTGTCGTTCTATTGCTTGATGATCCTGTACACAAACCCACCCATCGATAGAATGCATAACAAAGTAAACTCGGCCTATAAATCGGCTTGATCCGCTCGTCGACAGAGACATATCCAAATCTGTACAAAGACAAACTTTTCCCCGCGCATATAGTCAAGGCATACTACGGGTCATGAACAAGACCTCAAGTAGATAATGCAAAAGGAAAGACAGCGCAACGGATATCCAACAAGAGACGACGTCCCAATAGCAGACCCTTGCAGTCTAACATCCTATCATTGGACAACCCGTATCTCGAGAATTCACGTGCCTAATTCACGTGCCTGTAGTTGTTCCCGGAGGCCTCATCATGCGTGGTTTACGCCATCCTCCCATTTGTGGCACCCTAGGTGGAGCGAAACGTAATACGAGTACTCCATCACTTCTATGAGGAAATCTACATTTCCTCAATTTGAAATTTCCTCTCGGAGCTCAGATTGCTGATAAGCTGGCTTTGAATCGGGCTTCACAAAGTCGTCTTGAAGTACAGCCGATATTCCAAGAAACATTGCAAGGCCAATGGCAACGGTCCCTTCCAACACGCTCATGCACACAAATATATTGTAGCATCATTAATGAGGACCGTGAAATTGGACCACAGATTGTCGTCGCCGAGTGCGGAGTACACCAACCGCGCCAGCAGGAAGGGGGAGGAAAGAACGCTGGCGAGAAAGAGCTTCTTTTGAAACACCCTGGCATGTAGCGCAGCTGGAGATTCAGCAAGCCACAGAAGACGACGACTATCAGAAAGACTGTGAGGAAAACGCCCATAGATGCCTTGATGGTATAATTGGGATGGTAGGTGGAATCGCTGTCGTTGGCAGTGCTGACTCTCGCGATGCCGAGGCCGACACCTATAAAGCAGGTCGCAGCTAAAAGGTTAAGGAATTTTGTGTCCACCTTGGTGTCTATATCACTGGAGTATTTCCAAAACCTTTCGGTGTACGTTTCAGCATGTCAGTCGTGAGGTTGTCTACACAAGAACTAAAGTCATATTTGTCTGAGAATTCCGACGTAGGTCAGTAACAGAGGTACAATACCAATGAATTCACATACGGCCACGGCAAGCTCGAGACTGCGAGAGTCGTGGCTGATGGTCAACAACGAAAAAATGCTGCCCGAGATCCGGAAGAGGGCCAGCACCGGGCGAATCGCCAGATTTTTCTGCCGGCCCTCCAGCCAGCCCGCATCCAGATGAAGAGCGCCGCGGCGAAGATGAACGGGAACACGACGAGGTGGAGGATGGCAATGCCATTGCGATAGGACACAAAACCCATCGTTGCGCAACAGAAATTGCAGATGCAGAAGAATAAACTGGGAGCCCAATCGCTGAAAGAAAAGTAGTTGTCTTCGGTTCCGAAAGAAAGGCTCGAGGAGATTGATATACGTCCTGCAAGCCTTGCTGTATTCTCGCCTTTAGGACCACATTAGCAGCGTCGGGGAAGTCCTACAACCAATATAAGTTTCAGACTAACTGATTGTGGTGGGCATTTCGGAACGCGAGCCCACTCAGTCCGCAGATCTTCCTTTTTGACCTAGTCATTGGTGGTGGCCTTGAACCTTGGTTGATCAAATCTGGTTTCATCGTGATACGCACCATTCTTTCCCCCTCTTTATCGAAAGGAATGTGACTCGAAACCATTACCGGTGCACCAATATTTTATACCTCCTCGGTTGACGGACGAATAAAAGAGTGGACGGACCGCTCAAGAATTTAAAAACAAGGATTCGTTTTGCAAAAGCCAGCGTTCGGTTGCAACTGTCCCTGGGGAAAGGAGATAGTCCTTCAACCCTTGTTTGAGAATGAATTGAGCCTACACTCGACAGTTCCTATGCCGATGAAAGAGCAGCAACACTCAGGAAGCCGATATTGAGCTCAGATGAAGAAATTCTGAAGGTGATTTGATGCTTAAGATGTAGGCAGAAGACAGTGTAATATTTATGTTGGTAACGCGGAAGTTCCTGCCAAGTAACGGGGCTATGGTTGATAATTGGACGGTAATGTAGCCACTGGTGACTCCTCGCGTAGTGTTAAGTCGAAATATTTTAGGCCCACGTTCGTGCCGCTTGCGCTTCTTCGTCGAGCGATTCCATTCTTTGCCCGAGCCACCTCACTCGACGCGTAGCGGATTCTCTGCCATTGCAAAGCCGGCACCTCCCAGACGCCACTTCAATATATGTTCATACTAGCTCCATACTGGCTCCATTCAAGTTTTCACACCTTGCAGCTATACACGCAGAACGCCTGCGTCAGGGTGTATGTCTGCCAAAGCACTTCAAGGGAACAGATCTCTTCAGGCGCCGATATAATATTGCCTTTGAAGCAGCATCCAGATCAAAGCCAGTGACGGAGCTGCTAACGTGGGGACGGCCTCTTTGAATCTCGCCGTACGATAAATTAGCAGTTCCGTGCCATTAAGGAAGATAACGCCGGCAAATGTCACCATAGCCAAATTATACCACTGCGGATCTGTAATATTGTACGCGGCCCAGAAGCGAATAAGGCAGGTGTAGATATTTTTCACTCCGTACAATCGAGCCGTCAACCCGTTAGGCGGAGGCCGGTTAGGGCCGCTAAACTGCTTTGTGGAAATTTCTGGAGGCGCAGTATAAGAAACGTAAGTATGGATTATGGCCAGAAGACTAAGCTGTCAAGTGTATATGTCGTCAACTAAGCTGTAGCTATCAAAGGAATGTAGGAGTGTACCAAGAGCAGAAAATACGGCAAGTAGCCTTCGCCTTGTGGCAATAACGTCGACCGATCGAATGTAGATGCCATTTTGTAGGTATTGACCAACAAGCTATCTCTGTCAATTCATTTTTGGTTGTCTTTTCTGTATTGGTTGGTAGGCAATTTGCACGAGAAAGCTTTCTAAAAAATCCTCGGGGCGAATACAAATGAGCTAGGTCTTTATTTTAACGTGAAATAAGAGACCGTGGGTTGCGTAGCGGGACTGTTGCTATCGGCGCACGTGTTGAACGGTGGCGAACGTGATATTTATGGTGGATATTCGGGAGGTTGTCGGGCACTCTAATTTCACAAACCGGCGTTGTGCGACCAAGCCTGACTGGGGCCAGGAGGAAGGTAAGGCGGGAGAACTGTTGTCAAATCGGGTGTGTGATAATGCTCTCTATTGTGCTCTAGCCAAGACCACTTGGATAGTGCTTCTTGGCCCTTTATATGCTTGCTCTACATACAAAATTGGCATGTCGATGGGTATGGAATCGACTGCCTGAAATATACTCAATCTCCGACGTGTAAAACAAAATAGACAGGACTGAAGGAATGGCATGGTGATGCACCCATGGAGCCCTCGAGGGGATATATATCTTTGCATAGCACTTGCAGGCGACATTTCATGGTCACGTGCTCTGTAAGTGCCAAATCTGCTCCACAGAGTAGCCCACGCCACTTAGATAGACTAATCAATCAGTCTAACAAGAAAGGACATGCATTTACCGTAAATTAGCCTTGCACCTGATACCTGCGAAGACCATTTCACGAAACGGCAGAACAGCCTTCCAAAAGGGGCACGACGGTGCCCGCGATCGAGATCGTTAGCCCAGAACCAGTATCTTCTGTTCAACGTTCAGCTTGCTGCCCGTCCGAAAAGGCTTATGTAAAAGGATGACACCTTTAAAATAATCCCTAACATACGAGACAGAAACCGCGCAAACTTCGACCCTTTCACAATGTCTCCTTCAAAGACCTTCGAAGACAAATCAAACGTTTCTCGATGGATGGACGCGAGTTGATCATGTCAGCTTTGTCGATAACGACTGAAACTTCGTCCTATACCATCAATTCTGCTAGCACTTCATCCGAGTTCCAAAATCGGCATCGTTCCAACAAGTGTTCATCATAAGTCCCAGACGGCCCAATACTTTGTAGAATGTTCTCAGGACCCCCGATGACTTGCAGATCGTAGGTACCTTCAGATCGACTGGATAATGTCACTGCCTCTGACCAACCCTGCAGCGTCCCTTTCCCTTTCGACAGTTGCCCGTAAGCAGTAAATGATGCCCAGCTAGCGCTCAATTTCGCCGATAGGGCAATGTCGGAAGTCGAGGATTGACTGGCGTACCGAGTCGCGGCCTGGTTGAAGACATACGGAATGTCACTAAAGTGCGAAACACCGTAATACGACACGTTCAGTTCTGCAAAAGAGCCCGAGAAGACTGTCTGGTTCAAGGCGTAGAGGTAGTTCGAAGTGGTCGTTGCTGAGAAATTGGCGTTGGCCTCCAACATCAGTAGACTTGGGCAGGTATACCCTGCATCTCGCTGCATTTGGCTTGCACGGAAGTATTGCACTGAAACGTTTTCGGCTGTGTCATTGCGGAAGAGGGAGGCTGGATAGAGGGTTTGCACAAGTTGGGTGTTTTTAGGTGAGAGTCCCGGAAAAGCTGAAGCCAGCCATTCTACCAGATCAGAGTCGGAAGCCAGTGTGCTTGGGACGAAGAAGGACCCGTCATTCTCATTCCACCCCGTGATTATGTCAATGCCGTGTAAGAATCGGCCGGACTTGAGCAAGTTAGAAGGCGAGTCTGGAATAAATGGGGATGGTGAAGTAGGAATAAAGACGTCGAGTCCCCCATCCGGATTAAGGGTCTGTTCGTAAGCAATAGCTGTGGACAGGATGGCTTGCATTGGCAATTCACGAAGGCAAGACAACTCCATTTCACTGTTGGAAGATGTACAGTTGAGCAACTGAACCACCTGAGCAGTATGCACGGCTGAGAGATTGCTCGCAGTCCCTGTATCTGCCGTAGGGCCACCAGATTGCATGATCGCTCTTTGGAAGAGACGAACTGAGGAGCTCGCCCCATAGGCTGTGATTTGTAAACCAACACCTGTTGCACCGTCGCTTTCTCCGAAAATGGTGACTTTTTCGGGGTCCCCTCCAAATGCGGCAATGTGTTGGCTAACCCAAGAAAGTGCCAGCCGCTGATCCAAAAGGCCGACATTCAAGGATCCCATTGCGTTGAGTGCCGGCGACGCAGCGAAACCAAAGATGCCGAGACGGTAATTCATCGCTACATATATGACTGGGGATCCAATATCATGGGCTCTGGAGACCAACCCATTTGGATCGTACGCAGAATCATAGATTTGACCAACGGTGTCTCCCCCGCCATAGATGAAGACCATGACTGGCAACTTGGCAAATGACGATAGGTTAGCTGGCCGGTCGACTCGAAGGGTCAGACAGTCCTCCGAGATTCTGGTAACATTGTCGAAAATGGGAAAGGTTGGGAATGGAACCTTCTGCTGCGGGCATGCCGCGCCAGGCTGACTGGCATCAACAACCAAGTTATCCGGGTAGACGTATGGCTTTGGGGCCGCGAAACGATTTTTGCTGCTCGTATCTTCACCGAAACGAATGTTGAGGAAGGACTCCACACCATCGGCCAATGCGCCTCTGAACGTGATGTTTTTAGAGCTGTTAAGATTAATCGTAGGCTGCATTTCCGTACTTCGATGTTGCGTAGAGAGGATCGAGAAGCCAAAAGTACAGGTCGACCAAAAAGCGAAGAAAGCGAAGCGCTTGTTCACCATGCTCCAATATGTCCAGTGATTTATTGAGTTATGGCTCAAGTCACTGCATACGGGTACAAGAAATACCTTTTAAATAAAAGTAGCGAACTTGATTAAATCTATTTAGTAACATTCTTGCGCTTCGTTTTTAAAGCGAGTGGGGCCTCGACAGGTCTGGTTCAGGAGGAGCCTTGCCTTCGGGTAACCAAAGCCAGCAAGCAGGTAGAAGCTACATTTGTATTAAGTTGATGACGTGGCGACCTGCGTAGGCCAGTCTCACAGCCTCTTCGTCCTGCTGGGATACCGCTAGGCTTATACTTTAACACGGACGTGCTTTGAGCTATCTGCCTTTGGGGTTCGAACATGGCGCCCGGATTGAGTTTTAGACCAGCCGACTACGAGAGCTAACGTGTTGGGCGTGATCCCTGCCGTTTTGGGAAGTTTCCGCGAGAGTGGAGGGTAATGGGCATTACGCACAACACCCTCTGTATTACGCACAACACCCAATTAGGCAGGTGCGCCAGTAAACCCCCTCTGTATTACGCACAACGCCTAATCAGGTAAGTGTGCCGACCCGGAGCAGTTTTTCCGCCCCGAAGCGCGTCCAGTACGCGCCGGGGCGCGTTTTACTCACGTTAACCATGCAACTCACTATGCAACTCACCATGCAACCCGTCCTTGTTCTCAACAACAACCCAGGAAAACCCTATTGCGGAGTACGCGGAATGGATTCTCCATCGACTGAACCTCTAGACGACGCTGTCACAGCACAATTATATGCGGAACTATGCTTCTGGAGCAATGAAATCGAGAAAGATGCTTGGGAGACCTTTCTGTTGGAGGAGGATGAGACTCCGGACGAGGATGACAGTGTTATCGATCCATATGAGACCCTGGAAACCTCTCACCTTCCATTCGCTTTACCCTCCGAGAAGCGCTCCTTCGACTCATGGCAAGAGGCTCTAAAATGGCTCGATGGATGGTCTAGTACTCGCGGATATGGCATGCGCAAAAAGGGTGCTGGCCGCAAGAACAACGCAGGCAATTTCACATCATATTATGTGACGTTGGACGCGTTACGTTCGCAATATGCCTGATGTTACTGGAATGAGCGGGTCAATGGGAGGTGGGGGAAAGCCCATGAGGCGGCGTTCAAGGTCTAATGCTGTCTCTGATGATTAAGATAGGTGGCTGTTGAGTGTTCGATGTTGGGACACCCATATGGAGATCAAGTTGCGATAGAGCAAGGCTCGGCCTGCTAAATTGTGACAATTTCGACCTGTCGTGCGGCAGGGTTGATATAAAACCTCATTGGTCGAGGGCGAGCGTTGTCTGGCTGCTGGCTGCTGGCTGGCCTAGGCACGCATCTTCTCGTCTGGGCTGAGTTCGTATCATGCTTCTTTTTCGGCCACCTTACGAAGTGCAAAGCGCAAGTTCGAGAGGAGGGCAGTCAGGCACTCAGCGTAGAGTCGGTCTCCCTTGCGGCAATGGCGCCACGGTACAAATGACAGCGACGTAATGAACGAATAAGATTACACCACAATAGCCACTAAGCTCGGAAATATTAGAGCCGCTCTTGATATTGACACATCTTCGCTTGCAAAACTAGAGCACTAAGGCATCTGATGAAGCTCCTGGCCAATATGCTGAAGCCATAGCAGGGTGGGGTAAGCTAGGCAACTATGCGGTTCGCATTGCTGCCTGGAAACACTTTCCTCAAGTATCATCTGAATCCCCAGGGCGCTCGTAATATCTTATACGACACTTTGGCGAGGGTATTTAACTTGAGCCATAATGGTCTTTGTAATCATGTCGACCGTTCGATATTTTGACTCCATTCCTCACGTTGTCCGATATGGCATGCGGGATGAAAAGAAAGGCTTATCCTGGACCCTCTTCTATCGCAATGCTGTGTGTTTCCGCGTCTCGGTTGCGCGAGGCGACGTGGAAGGGACACCATTTGCGACCCAATGGCTTGGGCTTAACAAGGAGGGCAACCCTATCGGAGAAGGCGTGAAGAGCATGCTTCAGCGATGGAACGACTTGTGCGACTGTATCATCCGCCAATGCTTGCCTGTGCTACAGGAACTGGCTCCTTCCACCCGACAATGGAAGACACTTGAGGACCATCTGCGCACACCGACATATGAGTTGAAGCTTGTTGTGGACCAAGATTTGAATGATGCAGTGGCGAAGGTCACCAGTGGTCCCGTCGAGAAGCCTTCCTACGAGCACCACCTGGTGAACTTCTCAGTGTTCCAGTCGTTGCCGCAGGATCTCCCGCGTTACTGTGCACAAGACTTGACTGTGCTTGGACAAGGGAAGAATTGGCGCCACCCACCGGACAAAGTCCATACATCAAATGGTGAGGTGCTATACTTCATGTCCTGCAACAAACGTTCCAAGGATGAGATGACGGGCAAGATTTCGAATACCTCGCTCGACATAATCGACGCCTATTCTCGGCTGCATACAGGCTCAGAAGACCTCGCAGGTATCTACATTCCAAAGCTGCTGGGAGTTGTGGTCAGTGGTGCAGACGGCGAGGTCGAGGACTGGGATGCGGAAGGCAATCCTTCACCTGACATGGGTCAATCTGTTTCTAAGGAGGCGGGGGAACCACTTGTGGCCGGCGTGCTCCTGACCTATGTGACGAAAGCCAAGTCCTTGAAAGACGTGATGAAAGTGCCCGCCGACCCAGCTGATACCGAAGGCCTCGCGACAACCAAGGAGAAGTGGAAGGCGCAATTGAAATCGGCGGTACAATACCTCCACGACCACGGCATTGCGATTGGAGGTCGCACCGACCCGGATGGTCCTTGGTTCTACATCAACGAATACACTGTCCACATTGCCCCTGTGAAGACCGACGAAGGCTCTGCGGAGATAGACGTGGCGTCGCTCAAGGACGCACATGCTTGGCTCATGATACAGCCACATTGCACCCTTCTTTCTGCTGAGGACCGGCCACAGGAGCAGGAGAAATTCGAGGAGCAGAAGGCTATGGATTGGGAAACCGTAGGAAAATTGTTCCAGGACCTGTGAGTGGATACCCAGGCGTCTCCTCAGCAGAACCTGTCCTCAGCACAACCTGTCCTCTTCTCAAGTACGCTTTCTCACTTTCTCAGGTACGCTTTCTCAGGTACGCTTTCCAAGGGGAGCATCCCTATTTTTCCCTACTTGCGTCCTACCTGCGTCCGATAAACCCCGTGCCTTGACCACACGCGTCCTAATGAAGGGCCTTGTGCGCGTACCCAAGTGCGCTGTCCAAAGTACACTTCCAAAGGTCGCGCACACCCCGAAGCTTTTTCAGACCGGTGGAGATTTACCGGACGATGGAGATATTCCTGCAAAGGCTATTGCCCGCGTTTCGAACCGTGCTGTCGTCAAATACAGTACCCAGATTTCCCTTGGTGAACGTCGAACTATGATGAAACGGAGCCACTATCGAGCAAGTGCCTTGATTCAAGCTCGAAAAAAGCCCCTCCAATCACTTGTGACATGCTTCCTCCGCTGGCTTGGTCAACATAGTCTGAGTGTTCGTGGAGGGTTTCCACGTAAGCTGAAATCCTTTGCCTTTGAAACCCTCAGGTCCAAAAAGGGAAAATGGAAAGTATTCGTGTCGAGATTCCGACATCGAATTGCCTGTTTCAATGGTCCACACCCGGCGATCACAGAATTGGCCTGAAGGTCCACGGTCGAGGCCAGAGAGCTGGTCCAACCAAACCGGAGACTCAGTCCAGAAGCGGCGTCCGGGATCCTACCCTTTGAAGCTGGTCTGGTGGCCTGACTTGAGCTCTGGGTGGGATGAAGACCCGTTCATCATTGCAACCTGTTCGTACTAGGGTCCTGAGTCACACCGACGGATAGTTAGAGGAACGTGTGCAAGGCGCTTACGGGTCAGAGTGGGAGCAAGGCGACACCGCCAGGTTGACCGCAACCCGACGCAGGATGGAGGGACTACCGACCAGCCGCGACCCAACCCAAATAGAGGGGATCGTCTGCAAGCCAGGCGACCGCAACCCGATACAGAGGAAGGGGACTGATGGTAGCCGCGGCCTGACACGAGATGGAGGGGACCCCCGACAGCCGCAACCTCACACCTGACGAAGTCAAACCCTTGATTTTTGCCATGCATTCAATGGTCTTCCCCCCAGCTGGAGCCATGATTTGGATGGCGTCGCCTTTGGCGTAATTCTCGATAACGCTCACTTTATCCCTTAGGTTACCCTGAGCTGCAGACCAGATATTCAGGTTGTGCCGAGTCGTAAGCCATTCGTCTCGCAACCGTGCAATATCTGTACCGTCATCCTCCGAGAAAAGCGCTGTCTTCGATATTTCCATCAACCGATCAAAAGGCTGCCTCTTATGGTCTTCCAACTTTGAGGTCGCTCGAGAAAGGCTATCATCGGATACCATCGATATCCTCCCCCATGTACTTTAGCCTAAGCCAGTCTCGGAAGCTCGTAGAGGTATCGTTCGATCGCGATAAGCATTTGAGCAGCTCCTCGTACAACGCTTTGCATGTGTGGTCACACTGTCATAGAGGAATTTCGATAGAGTAGTCCACCTCGCGGACAGACTTGATTGTTTCATCGAGCTTGTTTAGAACTTGGATCAAAGCAGCAAGGCCATCCAGGAATTCGTGTACAAGTGTCTGATGACCTTTGTAGCTTTTAATCGTGTTCAGAAGTATTATACTCCCTGTGCTCATATCCAATCAACTCCCCTGCCAGCCACCTTTCCCTGGGCTGACTTCTGTTGCATTCCGACAACGAGGATGTAGTCGATCCTCTTCCGCCCCAAAAGGCCAGACCGGTATGAAGCAAACTTCGTCCAGTGCGCAATCGCCGCACCTTTTCCAAGTGGTCCAGTCTAGGTATGCCACAAGTGAGCGTAAGTTTCTCTTTGATTCCGAAACAGACACATTGCTATCGAAAGCAGTGAAAAGGCTAGAACAGATTCTCCGTGTGACGGCATCAATAGCACGACCTGCAATTGATGCCGAGGGATTGATCCTGGTAGGAACGAACTGATTGACACACCGTTCCACTTCGGTTGTAGAATTACGATTGTCCGAGTCGATGAAGACGTAAAGAACGGTCGACAGTTCATAGAGGAATGCTTCCGGTGATGTTAGAATGTCTGACACCAAGTACTGCAGCTCATCTGCGTATCGTTCCACAACCATGTCAGCGATGCTCTGCCAATTAACGGTACTGGAATCGGGAGGTTGCCAATTCATGACCATGGCATCTACATCATGGCGAACCTTGTCAAGGGAAGCGATAGATAGGTTTTCGAGCCTGGGAAGATCACCACCGTTGTTGAACAGGTCGACATCATACGCATAGCTAGTTACGAAGTTGTTGTAATCCAGCAGCACTCTGTCACCGCCAATGCCATCGTATCGAGCACTTATGGCCTTGATCCATACCATGATGTTCTGACGGACGCCATCGTTCGGGTCTGGTTCGTCGCCGTCTGGAGCGGATGGCCCTACTCTGACTGCGGAGATGATATCGACATTCTCGACGAACGAGCAGAGAATGATCTCAAAGCCAGCCTCCATCCGTATGAAGCCCTTGAACTTGCCATGCCAATTCTCGTCGGCTAGCTTACAGAGGCGCCTTGCACGTTCATAGTCCCAGAATCCGGGTCGCTCGTCCCTGGTCACATTCAAGAGCAAGACATCTTGAGAGTCGAGCGTGCCCACCTCGGCCTTGGCCGCGGACATGCCGTCGATGTAAAGCAGAGGGGGAATGTCTCTCGTCCTGTACGTATGCAGCCACCCTAGCTCAATTTCATACCTGGGACGTTTGGCGTTGGCTTCCTGGAAAGGAACCTGGTGCACCATTCCACCATCGTGATTCGGAGCTAGTTGGATACCATCGCCGGTCTTGAGTTCTGAGTCCTCGGTGTCAAATGGCCGCTTCAGCCTCCCGGCGAAGAAGCTAGCATGTTCCGGTTCGAATGCTAGCCATTCCATACCTTCGACAGGTTGCTGAAAGCCTGTTCAGTGGTAGAACTGCGTGCCGGCCGGAACCTGGGCCATGAAGAACGACATCCCATTGTGATTCAAAGAAGAGCCCCATTGGCGCATGGACGAGTGTATCGCATTGAATATGTGGTTTGCATTGTGCAGGTCTCGCTCGGCGACAAGGTTGTTCTCCTGGTCAGCGGACGGGATGAAGGGCACTACGGCAGCCCACGAGTGCCCTGACAACGCGTACGTGGCGAAGATAATTGTCTTCCACCACCTCATTGTCCAGCAGGGATGAAATGGGTTTAAATATGTTTTTACTTTACATGAAAGTGATGTGATCACCTGGCTCATCAATATCCTACATGACACGAGGCATCAACGACGAAGACATATCTTTATCTGATAACAGGCCCCATTGGTTGATGATCTGCACAGCTGACGCGGTCCGGCCGACACCGGCGAGACCAAGGTTCGGGGTGCAATCCCAGAATTGACTGCATCCTAGCTCATATGCCTTGGGGCGCCCAGCAGGCTAGGGCCCTTTCAGTCACAAGAGAAACAATACCCTAGGTGTGTCCAGGCCTGAGTGACGAGGCTCGGGTCCTAGAAACGGAATGGTCCTGAAACGTCATGGGCGCTGTACGCTGGCCCTGGTTCGGGGCGGCTGTCCGGGGCTCCTGACTGACTGATTCATGATATAAGGTCACCCTTCCCACCTCTTTCATCAGTTTCTTCTCAGAGCTGGCACTCTCAAAATACTGATCTCTCTTGTCTAGGTTGTGGCTTATCGGGCGTGTTCCATCTGTGGCTACGTGACAGAAACCCACATCTGTCTGGTCTACTGTAATCTATTCTTACTCAATGCGTTGCTCTGTGGTCATGTGCTGGCTTGGCGCTGAGAACTAGCCTCCAGCGATTCGGCGTTGATGTGTTGAAATTGACCCAAGAGACCAGTCTTCAGCATCATCTTCGCCGCTCTTACGGCCATCTTGGGGTCATTGAGCACCCCCTTTAGGGGAAGAACTCGTCTTCCCCGCCCACATTTCCTCTCATTCTGTCACCCATTGCCTGCATTTTAGCAACACATGTTCTACTGTCTGTTCTCCATAGTTGCAGCTACATTGGCTCGTCTCTGCCTTGCCGATGCTGCGGAGATAGGCCGCTAATCCGATTTCGTCGGTCCTCATCTGCGTAACGACGGAGGAGATAGGTCGCGGAAGATTTTGGTGCAGTTGAAGGGTTTTCTTGTCTGGCTTCGTCCCCAGGCGGTGGAGGGTTCGTCCGTGTCGGCCATGTGTCCAGAGAACTCCCCAGTCTTTCTGTAGGGCTTGATTGATGGTGTGTTTCGCTTTGGTCAACAGTATTGTTGTCTGTGGGGTCTCCTGCTGCCGGCCTCGATTCTGGCGAGGACGTCTGCTTGGCAGCGTTGGTGCTGGGTTGATACCTTGCCTGGCCGCTTCTTTCGCCGTCTTGTCTGCGGGCTCATTGCCAGGAATGCCGCTGTGAGCAGGAATCCATCGTAGTTCGATATCCGTGGTCTTGGCCACTTCGTCCAGTAGCTGCAAGAGTGCTGCAAGGATGTATTGTCCTGAGTGTTGCCTGGGTTTCGAGGTCCACAATTCATTGTAGACAAAGACCATTGCATTCAGTGTCCGATCGTCTTTGATCACGCGTGTAACGTACTTTCCGACGTCTCTGAGATCCGTCAGAGTGGATCGCGCGTTGCCGTCGCCCGGGATACTTTGGCTTGCAGGGCTAACGGCGTAGTCGATCTTTCCCGACGGAAGCTTTGGGAGGGAGAACTGATACCACCAGCCAACGTCTATGATGGTGTAGGGGATATGGAGACGCTTAACGAGGTTGTACACCTACTCCTTCCGATCCTTGATCTTTGCACACCAACTGGCATAGCGGGCAAAGCCGCAGGGAACGAAGCGTTTCACGCCAGCCTTTTTGGCTGCAGCGACAAGTTGGACCTGTGCTAGTTGGTCTCGTCGTCCGATGGCGGATATCAAGACATCAAGATCCTTGAGTACCGTTACTATAGAGTCATCAGAGGCCTCCAGGTCCAGGACACGCAGTTGAACACCCCGATTTACGAGAGCGACATTCGCCGGACGGACAAGGGCGCAATTATCCTGTCAGCGTATTAGCAAGGAGCGGCGGCGGTCGATGGAATAGATGTCTTACAAACCCTGTATCCGCGATGAGTCCTTCTAAAATGGAACTGCCCGTCTCTCCGGAGGCCCCCAACAAGCCCACAAGGCGGCGTGCCATGTTTGAGCTGCTTCGTTTTTCGAGATTCATCGAATTTGCTGGAGCGACAGGTAAGGCTGTTCGAAATGATCAGATATTGATTTCGATGTGCTGTGGTCTGGAATCACGAGCTGTAAATATCAGTTTCGGGACAGCTCCTGAAACGTTCTGCCCTTGCAGCGTCTGATCGGATAGTTGCTTTGGTATCCGCATTCATCAATAATTTCGCACTCATACTGCATTGCATTATGCTACTATTTGGTGCGTGCATCCGGAGATGAAGTTCGTGAACATCCAGATTTGCTCATCCTCCAATGTGGTCAAATCCGCTGAGTTTCGGGTGCCGCCTGGGATGATGACGAAGCTCGGCCCAGACTAACCCAATTTAGAGAAAGACCATGCTCAGTCACGTGCAGGAGCATTTCAGGTTGAAGCGGCGAAGGCTCAGGGCCGTGCCCAGATCCAGATATGGAAATGGAAACACTCCTGTTCCACGTGACCTCCCGCCGCTTTTGCTCAGGCTGGCTCGCGCCCGGCTCGACCGGGTCGGGGAGGTGGCCCAGAGGTCGTCGCCCGTCAAGTTTTAACGAGAGCCCGTCCTAGGGAGGTTCTCTGGAGACGCACCACGGCACATTGCCAGAACGAGCCGGTCTTCATGACTCACAGGTACAAACCGGTTTTGCACGTCACTGTACATGACAATGGCCATCACCTCGCAAAGCAGTGGCAGCGCAGGCGCCCTAAAAGCAGCAGCAATCGATCGGAGGCCTTCAAGGTCACGTGTAATCATCGGCAGCTCCCACGTCGGCGCGCCCACGCCAGCCCGCTCAACCTGACTGCGCTTTCTGCAACATGATTCTGCTTCGGTCATCTCGAGGTCGCCAGTCATGGCTACAATATGAGCTCTTTCCATTCTCGAGATTACGTCTCTATGCTAAACGAGCTACTGTACTCGACTACCGTATGTCCGAGAACGTGCGCAGCACGGCCCTAGTGCGATGCGCCTCTTGGAGCGTAAGCCCGACGGCGACCTCGCCTTTCACGAATCACTGGCAATAAGGCTCCAGCCTATGCAATACTCTCCCATACTTGACGAGGCAGCAACCCGCGACTTGGGATTGATGAGAATGAATGAACCAGCAATTTGGCCATGACACATTAGGAGGACTAAGGGTCTCTCTTGAATTCGTACTCATTTTCGGCACCAATGTCGGTTGTGTCATTACCACAACTGAGCGAGGTCCACGATCCTGCCGGATCGATGCAAGAATGAGACATACCCTCTTGATATGTCTTGCGTCTGTTTTCCAATGGCTCAAACGTCACACCCAACCCGCTGCAACTCATCAATCTAGTCAGGACTTATCCATCGCATATATTCCAACCAAGTCGTCGACTGAGGAAACGGCGCCAACAGCTCAAAGGTCACATTCGCGACATTCTCGAACCCCAAGCTCTTGTACAGCGGATATCCCGCAGGCGTTGCCAGCAACGTCACAGGCATCTTGACCTGTTTCTTCTGCAATAGCGTCAGCCGCCTCTCCTCGGCCTGTGCGAACTTCAGGCCCCATTGCACTTGTGCAGCGCCGAAGCCATGCCCATCCCAGTCCGGGTGGGTGGCCAGGATACCGAGATAGAGTTGCCGGTCGTAGGCATTCTCGATGTAGGTCTGCACAGCCGCGTGCATCTGTGGCAATAAATGTGCCGTCCGCGTAATATTCATGTCCAGCTGGAGGGAGCAATCCAGTTCCACCTCCGAAATTCCGAATAGCCCGGCTGGATCACTCTCGTGGCCGTGAATGTGAGGGGACAGTCGAACCTGCTTCCTCCTCTCGCGCAGATCTCTTGTGCTCATTGCACTGAATACGCGCTTGTCCAGGCCCAACAGTGCACCAAACATGCCTAGACCTCCCATCTCACCTCTCTCCATCACCTTCCACCCCGCAGCACTCCTTGCTTCGTTTTCATTTCCGTCCGGAGGGATAATGACGTTGAAACACCTCTGGCGTTTTGTGGGCAAGTCATATTCCATGGCGAGACCTTCGCGGTAGCATCGCCAGTGGTACGATGGATAGTTATCGCGAAATTGATATACGTACGTCGCGATGGCGCCGGGTGCGAAGGCGTCGTCCAATGTGGTTGTCACAGCGTCGAGGTCGGCCGAGGTCATGTTGCGGAAGGTGTATGTTTCTGCCGCGATAGGGACGATGTGGGATGTTATAAGCAGGCATGCCGCCAGTGTCAAGCAGATAATGTTACTATGACCACACCCCATTTTGGAGACTGGTATTTGAAGTTTTGTTCTAGAATCGCTGTTCCGCAATTTCGCAAGGTCAACTCAGACCTGCATGGTGTCCAACTGCAAGATCAACAAACACGAAACTCAACGTCGACCGAACGCGTCCGTCAGTGAGAGTTGTGGAGAGGTTGCTTGGTTAATGCTGAAACATTGTTAGGCGATTGCGCACGATTGACCTGGAAACTGGCACGACTGCCTCGAACGATTTCCGGCATGGCTGGACGTGACTTTCCCAGTGTCAAAAAGCTCGAATAGTAAGGCGGAGATAAAATGACCGCTAGACTACTCCTCCTTGTTTAAGAAGACACCGGAGACCAGAGAAGTTGGCGATTAGTACCTCATAACCACTGCCAAAAGTAATGTCAGTTGTAGCGCCTACAATCTATCCAACCTTCCACGAGTACCACATAATCCACAGAAGTACACGTCCGCCATACATTCACTTCCTGGGATTGCATTTGAAAGCGCTCATCATCGCTAGTTTGGCTTTCCAGTACCACGCTGGCATCCTTCGCACTACAACACGCCCTCCAAAGGCTCGAAGCAGAGCGTCAAGCAAGATCCCTAGCCAACATGGCGACTTACAGTTTGCCAAACAGTTCCTCACGTCTATAGACAACAAGCCTACAAAGTACCAAGCGGACCATGTCTTTGACCCGAGAACTTATCACATGAGGATACCTGTATGTTACGATTTCGTCTCCCTTTCTTCTTCTCCTTCTCCTTCTCTGCTCATCCTGTGGCTCTTAGATTGTGTATGCGTTAACGCAGAATAGTACACCTTACCCAAACTCTCCAACGCACCACACGCTTTCCCTCCCAAGACGAAACCTGCACCGCCGACGGCACCGGGGTCCGAGTCCGCCAAAACGACTGTCTCGGTGACGCTGAAATCGACGCGGAATCCCAACATGACGCTCACCATCCCATCGATGGAGCCGAGCACGACCACGATCCAGAGTCTGAAAGAACAGGTTCAAGCGCACTGGGGGGGGTGTTGCGGGCCGAGTGTCGTGCAAGTAGATAAGATCAAGTTGTTACAGAACAAGAAACCGATCCCACCGTCGAAAAAGGTCTTGACGGATGCAGTGGACGAGAAGGAGCTCAGAGGCCATTTGGAGTTGGGTGTCATGGTCATGGGCGGTGCTCCGGATCCTAAACCTCAGGTCATGGCGTCTTTGGCAGCCGCAGCCGCAGCCGCAGCGGCCACAGCGACCGCAAAGACATCTGTGAGTAAGAAGGGTGATGGCACGCCTATGGAAGGTGTAGAGTCCACAGCTACAGCACAAGTACAACAAGCGCAGGCAGACTCGAGCGCAGCATCCGAGGGGCCTGTACAGCCTGGCGAGCCTAGCGGTGAGAGTGTGCTGCACACGAGCGGTTTCTGGGATGATTTACAAGGGTTCCTGGAACAGAGGATACGCAACCAAAGTGACGCGGCGAGGTTAAGGGATGTGTTTGAGAGTGCGTGGAGAAGCCATAGTTCAGGTCCATGATGTATGGTATCCTGATATCCTGATGTCCTGGTAAGGGAGGAATGGAAGGGAAGAAAGGACAGAGACACCCAACACGGCGTATCAGGCGCCCTTGAGAAACAGTAAGATTCCCAACCCAGCTGGTAGGGCTTGTTGTTATTGATTCTACTCGAGTAACTCTTTTATATCCCTTGACCTCAGATACTCCTCCCAGCTCATGGCGACGGGCGGCGGATTTTTCAGATGCTTGGGCTCAATCCACTCCGTCACTTCACACATGTATGGAAACTCGGCCAGAAAGGCCGCTCCCTCCATAACTTCTTCCCTTATGCCCGTGATGCGACACAGCAGCGACACGGGCATTTGCAGGAAATGTGCCTTTCGGTTCGTGACTCTCTCCCACGTCCTTAACCCTTCTTCCATAGTCAGCCACCAGTCCACGGCCAGGAGCTTCGTCCCGGGGCTTTCGTCCTCGACGAGACATCGCACGTATCCGCCCGTGGAAATGTGCGGGATGAATGTCGGCATGGACGTGCTCATGCGGCCTGGGAGGGTCATCAGGTATTGATACCATCCACCTCTACCGGCGCCGCCGCCGTCCTCAGTCTGCTCCAACTTCTTCGCCCTGGGCGGAGGCATCAACTGCAACAAGAACGGTAGTTTCGTGACGAGCCACAATATCCACGGGGTGCCCAGAGGTACCTTGTGAGGATACAAGAGCGCATTATCGCAGTAGGCCGAGGCGTATATGTAACTCGTCCTCGAGTTCAGGGCGGGCAGTTCGGAAGCGATATACGACACCACAACGGCCTTGGCTTCAAAGTGGTAGCACCGAGCGTACTTCCCGCCCGACGCGACCTTCATGGACCCAAAGGCCGAGTAGACGTACCGCTCTAGTCCGGGGATTTGGGACGCCGCCAGAGCTGCGTTCTTGCCCCGCGCGATCTCGGTGTCGTATGCGAGTTGGGACGCCTGGGCGTCGGTCGTCTTGCCGGATGATAAGGCGCCGCGGTAGACTTCCCAGAAGTCGGTGTTGACGTAGATAGCGTGAGCGCTGGAAAAGGCAGATACCAGGCTCGGGAGGGAGGAGAGGTCAGCTTGGACGAGATCGGCGCCCAGAGAGGCGAGGCCCCTGTTGAGGATTGAAGGTTCATAGTCAGCACCTAGAGGTACTTATCCAAGATTCACCCGTGCCCTCGGCAGTTTGAAGCATGTCTAAGGTTCTCGCAGTGTAGAATCTCTTGCCTGATTCCCAACGAGAGTTCATAAAAACATACCTTGCAGCTTCAGATGATGGATTGCGCGTAACACACCGGACTCGCCAGTGAGATGACACGGGGGATGAGAGGAACGTTCGGGCCACGCTACCACCTTGTCGTCCTGTCGCGCCTACGACAACAATGGTTTTCTTCTTGTCTGTTGGTGACATTGTGTACTTTGTCGCTGTTTCGTAGATGGATGTTCAAATGGAAGATGAGGGTGTACCTGTGTAGGGCGTGCTTACGTTCCAAGGCCATGGAGTTCTATGAGTGCGCGTCTCCCTGAGATTCGACTTAAATATGGGCTTCGCCATGATCAGGCGATCTCCTACCTGCTAGCGGTGCTTACTTTCTGAACCGCATCTTCATACTGATTACTCGGGCAAGGCAGATGAGTACTTAGTATGCAAGCGCGATGTAGTTGTCCCGAGGAGATGGTCAACTCTCCCGACGAGGTTCTTCCGATTGGTCAAAACCCGTAAGCAGGGTGGACGGAAGAATAAAATAATGGGACTTTGATACAATTACGTCCCGAGGGTTAGTTTCAACTTGTAAAGGTAGGGTGGTCATTGCACTGTGGCGATCGACTCTCCTGTCGTAGACCAGGCAATGTCTTGTAATGAATCCTTACTGTATGGTGAGCGAAGTGCCACTGCCAAAAGTCTGTCCACCGGTTGACTACCCTGCAGCCAAGGCACGGTAATCTCTGCACACGTGGGGTTGGGTCTCGCCCCCATCTGTGTATCCGCTCAGAGGCTGGAGCCAGACATCTGCATGGCTGGATTGCTGTCGCTGAGAGCCCTGCCGAGCGCCTGGCCGGCCCCAGTGCGATAGCCACTGGTTAGGAGCGCGCTGCACGAAGTGCAGATGTACAGTATGGGAAGTACATGTAGCGTGCGAGGCTTGCTCGTTGATGCTTCTCGGGTCAATGCTCGCTTTCGACCATCGAGATAACATCGGCAGCCGGACGTGTCGCCATCGCGTCCTTCACGTAGATGGCGTGCCGTGATGTCGGTGAGCTGTGGAAGTGGCAATATGTGATGCGTCTGGAAAGTACTTTCTAAGCTGTGGGTGGTGATGGTAGTGATAGCATAATTCGATTGACTTCCTAAAGTGTGTTCTCCGTGTGATGGACCATCTCTTCCCCGTCAACTCCGCCTCTTCACTGTGTAATCTACAGCTTCCGATACCGTAAACTATAGTCGGGCGGGAAGATGGAGTGCCGAAGTCCGTTTTCCATCGTTGGGCGTACATGGAAGGGGCGCCGCTCCCTTCTCGCGTACTGGTACTGTATGATGGGTGTTTCGTGAGGTTCAGAGGGTGATTTCGGGACTTTGACGTGCCGTTCATGAGAGGATCACCGCGTTGTTGAGCTCCTCCTGGCACTCAGAGACAGCCAGACTGGTTCTCTAAGAGTTCCCAGCGGACACCACGTGGAGGTGGGAGCTCGTCGTCCGCCTTTCTATGTCTTAGGTTTGTAAAGATGGTCATCGGAGATGCCTTCAACTCAACCTGTTCAACAAGAATCGCCTCTAATGCACAGCAGGCGAGTTACCCAGCTTAACTATATGGAGCTTGACTAGGGTTTAAGATGTCGCGCAACAGATGGCATAATTTGACTTTAGTCAACTGCGACGGTTAGGAACCACTACAAGAGGAATCGTACAAATTGCCATCAATGCCGAGATGTTGTAACCGGTATTAACGGATGACCATTTGTGAGGTCTGGTAAATCTACAGTCTTTTCTGTGTAGAACACCCTCCGTCTGTCTAAGAGGCTTAGACCTGGACCATTAGGTGGGTCTCGCTCGGGGTGCTAGAACTACGAACCAACGCGATCGTACGGCAGCCTCCGAGCGTTCAGGAAATTGATTGAAGATCCACGACCACGACTTGCCCAGAATTCGCCATCGTGTCAAGTTGTTATCCTCATCTAACGTCCAATGGCCTCGCTTCGTCGGCCGGGAAATCGTTTCACTTTCGCTGGGACAGAAGTCGCTACTCGTGTCCAGGTCGGGTGAATCTCTTCCTCTCCTCCTAGCTCGGTCTCGTCTCTGATTATCCATTTTGGTAGCACGTCGCAATATGGTGGCTGTGAGGAGCCAGCAATGCTCAGCAAGTGGCTTGAGAACGATATTGGCCAAGTCGTTCGACTGGACACCACGTCCAAGGGCCCAATCCGTAGGTGAGTGAAAGATGTCCTGAAGGTCCGCCGGACTGTCGATAATGGCGGTAACAAAGCCGGCGTCACCCGATGTCACAGGCTGGATGCTCAAACCTTTCAACCTATCCTTATGCTGCTCTTGCCCGTGCTCGTTGAAGGGCTCATCGATATCTGGTGGCGATGTAGGAGTAGGGCAGAGCTCGCGAAGGAGCATATCACGTCCAGTTTGATCGTCACAGTTTATGCTCGCACCATGGTCAATGAGGGTCTGCTCGCTGTCCGACCCGTAGACGGGGTTGTGAATTCCAGCTCTGACCTTGCAGCCTGGCTCGTGAAGATGAGTTTCCCTTCCACGGGAATTCGCGGTACCGTTAAGCATGTGAGGGACGAGGGTCGGTGTGTTCTTGGGGTCGGCTTCTACACGCACTCGACGGGAATCTAGGGAGTCGAGATTAGATTCACTCATGTATCGTCGTTTGTGGCCGGAGATGTGTTTAACGGGCCCGCTGAGGCGGGGAGATGCTGTCCGTCGCCTGGCCGCGTTCGGTTTCACCAAATCGTCCGCAGCCTGAGTACCGGAGAGATTCCGTTGCGTGATCGGTGAGGGACGACGGGTTGAGATCACCACCTCAATCCCGGGTTTGTGGCGCGAGGAAGGTGGAGAGCATCGCTGCGGAGACCGTGCCGCTGTTAGCTTCGGTTCAGGACAGTTTGATTCTGCCGCGAGGTCAATCGCGTTAGAATTCGCCCGCAGCCCAGGAGTTTCGAAGCAGACCAAATCGTCGCTTGGTGAGGAATTGACAAAGTCACTAGTCCCAGCGACCCGTGAAGCGTAAGTCTGAGCTTGAGCGTCCGAATGTTGATCGGACTCGGTCGTTGTGAAGCACTCCAAATCTGGCAAAACACCAGAAAAGAGACTGGCTAAATCGTCGTCGTTGTCGAGACGCTCGGCCAGGCCATCATCATCAATCTGCGCGATGGAGAAATCTTCATGGAATGAAGTCCCTTCCAAGGTCCACCCGTCACCAGGACTGTCGTTGTGCAGAGGGCTGCGGCAGAGCTCGTCGAGCGGAATCTCCGAAGTCTGATCTCGTAGGGTTGACGGCTCTAGAGTGATCTGTCAGTGATCTTACTGTCGGTAAGGTCAGAGTGGTCTGAGAACGTCTCATTCTTACCAGAATGGCCTAAATTGCTGGTGTGAGAGTGTTCCTGCAGCTGAATTCCAGGAACAGGTTTCACGACCCGCGGTTCAACTTCTGGAGTGCACGCTCGGCCCAAGGAAGTGCTGGAGCTGACCAGCGCTGCACGTACCTGTGGCTTTTGGCGTAGTCGAGGTTTGGAAGGGTCCTCGAAGATGATGCTATCCATGCCGAAAACCTGCGAGAGATATGGAGCAAAGAGCTATTGACCCAACGACCGGAAGACTGCGAAGCCGATATGGCCGCCGTAGGAGAGGTCGGGATGGCTTGCTTGATATAGGCAGGAGAACTGGCTAGGCGTCAGGAGTATTGGATGGCCTAAGAAGCTGTACTGCTAACATGCAGACCGGGGAAGATATTCCAAATCCCACGACTACTAGGGAATGAGGTGGCCCTTTCCAGACAGCCAAGGAGGAGAATTGAATTCTTCCCCTTGTCATCATGCTCTTGCATGATCATCCCTGAAAGGGTCACAGACCATGGCTCTGCCTCCCTTGGCTGACCCTAGGCGGTGTCCGCGTCGCGTACCTTGTCGGGGTCGTCACGGATCCGGCGGCTACAAATTGCTCCGAACATCCAAACAGTACACAGCCGCCACCTCTCGAATCAACCGATCACCCACTCCAAAGCGATCTGTAGCACAGCAGACCGCCAGGACAGAAAAGCATCCACATCCCAGATTGGGGCGAAATCAATTGATCGTCTTCTTCCGTGTAAAAGGGCGTCTCACCATGTAGTGGGACGGTCACACCGAGTGGCTGTACAGCCCGACCACGGTGGGTGTCTTCGGATCCCTTGAGGTAGTTGACATGTGACATGTTCATGTGTCTAGCTGAGCGATTCCTTCGCATTTAGCAAAGAAGCCAAGGTCATGCAAAGTCAAACATGGCCAGGACTGACTGTCACACCAAAGAATTTGTGGGTAGAACCTGACGAATGGCTAGGTCGGAAAGGGACGTGGTCATCTGGGCCCTGTTGGAGCCTGACTGCCGCCGAGGCTGAAGTTGCGATCATGCGTCGAAGAAAGTACTATCGTTGCCACTGTGTCTGGCTGTTGGTTTGGCTGTTCCGACGATCATTTCACTCAGCGGCTTCCGCAACTTGGCCGCCTCCAAACAGGCAGCAGCTTAAGTTGCCGAAGCCAGAGGTCGTACAGGAAGTCCGGATGTGCTCGGCGTGCTTGGATCGTACCCTTGACATTCCATAGTGAGAATTGTAGACATGTACGTGGAGAATGCAGTGACGGTGGTTCCCCACGGCGTCCTCCTACTACCCAGAGTGGGATGTGTCTGCAGAAATCGCGTAACCCCTCTGGCCAGCTGGAAGACGGAGCGACAAGACCATTCCCTCACTCTCTAAGTCCACGACCTCGTTTCGAGCGGGGCGAGACAGAAGTAGAGGCCAATCGAGCGACAGACCGTCCATGGAAGCAGGCCGACGCGGCCAAACTCTGAAATCCTCAGGCTTCAGGGCGGTCAGGTGGGCAGTGTTCGAAGGGACCGCGGCGGCCCAAACAGACCCTAGCCTGGTGGGGGTGACATCCTTTGTTTGCGGAGGACGGTAGAGCGTGGCGAGCGAGAACGAAGTTCAGGATGTCTCAAACCCGCAACGCGCCACCACCATCACGGCTCGCAGTTCCAACCCTGTCATTCCCAGCCCGAGCCACTGATGCAGTTAGAGGCAGGATGCAATGCAACCCTCGCTGACTTTTCGAAAGCCAAATTCCTAGCGTCACAGGAGAGGGTTGCTTCGGATGGGACGTTGAGAGGGGACCTAGTAGCCCTAGTAGCCCTCATTCGGACGCATG